TGAATTTTTCAAGGAATTCCGTCATCGGCTTTTTGAGGCCGACACCAACGATGAATACCTTAAACAATGCTTATAGATACAAATAAATGCTAAACGCTTATAGATGCTTATAGATCTCCACTCAGAAAGGAAGTTCAGAGGTGGTTTTTATGAACATATATGTAGTTGTATTACTGTTACTGTATCCAGTAGCTGAATTGTATCATGTCAGTAGTAAGGTTCAAAGCTGGTTCATCGCAAGCGTATGTTTCTATAGGTAAATAATTTTCTTAGATGGTATGAACGATAAAAATTGGAAGTCCCAACGATGATTTTAAGTGTAACTCGCCTTGTTGTAGGCGACATTGATCTCTGGACAGAGTTTTGTCTCCCTGACAAGGATGTCAATAGGAGCCGCATTCAGTAGGACATCGTAGTTCATCTCATGAACATCATTAGAGCCTTCTACGCGATAGCGGATGCACTTTGCCGTCGCATCTATTCCAACGACCTGAACAGTTATATTTCCGATTAGAGTGATTGTAGAAGCGGCTGATAGAAAAGAGAACAAAAAGTAGTGTGGAGAACTGTCCAAGATTTGCGTCAGGGCAGTGAGACCTTTGATTGAAATAGAGCGATGCAGAAGATCGATCAAAAAATTAGGAGTATAGAGTGAAGCAGTGGAACTTTTTGAGGTGAGCTGATGCCATTTTTTCCAGAAGCCCAAAATGAGCAAACATAGCCTACTACAATCTCGAGCTTCCAACTATAAATGCGCCAAACTTGAGATTATTCTCACCTTTGTGCTGTATTTGAACCAATTTTCTGGCAACTTTTTGGCCATCGAATTCCAGACATTTCCTGTTCCTCCGTATTTAGGGAAAGTGAAGCAGGAGTTGGGTCCCCAACCGAAATCTGCAGTCTGAACGTCATATTTGTATGCAGTGTGAAAAGCCCTCCATCGTTGTTTAGATCTTCAATAATTGAATAAGCTTAGGGCTCACAGATAGCTCTTCTTGGCTCATGGCGCATAGTTCTTCCAATTTTTCTTGCGGTAATTTTGCTACGCGTGTTCCTACCCAGTTCGGTGACATTTTCGAGGGTTCTACTGTCCATACCTTAACACTGCAGTGAATGAAGTTTAATACGCCACCCGCTGGTCTTCCAGGTAGAACTTCTTAATCGGAAGAATTTTTGAATCTCAAATTTAATTTTAACTTTAAAGCTGGAAAATCGGCTCCAATTCGAATACAGGCCTCAGAAGCTTGGCGTGGATCTGCTTGGGCATGTTGTAAAAGGAGCGATCACAACTGCTCTGTTAAATGGAGGAACCTTTTTTGTATAGGGTTTGAAGAACACGTCCAAAATTGTTGGTCCGAAGTGTTTCATCACCCAATCGTCAAAGTTTTCCGGCACTCCCTCTGGTTCCTGAACGAGTTTTTACGAATACCATGTTCAAAAACAGAGTGAATAACCGGATTCAAGAAAGCGCAAGTATGCAGATTATGGTCGGTGCACGAATACCCA